TAGGCTTCTAGCTAGGCAAAACAGTTACATTTAGGCTTCTAGCAAGTCAAAACAGTTACATTTAGGCTTCTAGCTAGTCAAAACAGTTACACTTACGCTTCTAGCTAGTCAAAACAGTTACATTCAGGCTTCTAGCAAGGCAAAACAGTTACATTTAGGCTTCTAGCTAGTCAAAACAGTTACATTTAGGCTTCTAGCTAGTCAAAACAGTTACATTTAGGCTTCTAGCAAGTCAAAACAGTTATATTTAGGCTTCTAGCAAGTCAAAACAGTTACATTTACGCTTCTAGCAAGTCAAAACAGTTATATTTAGGCTTCTAGCAAGTCAAAACAGTTATATTTAGGCTTCTAGCAAGTCAATACAGTTACATTTACGCTTCTAGCTAGGCAAAACAGCTGTATTTTTTACTTTTCTGGATAAGCAAAAAGAGTAATTTCTTTTTATGAAGTGGCAAATTGAGGGACTCACTCCTCAGGTATCCAAAATGGCGTAAGAGTTTACCCAAACAAGAGGCTAATTTACAGGACGCTCTGCTCCCTGTAGCACAACTGATATGAGTGGGGCTTCTATGGGGTACTGGTACTATTAAGGGGTAAAGGTAGTTAGAAGACAAGAGTATCAAATATGGGAGAGCTAAAAGGCCCGGCCCCCAAAATAAACTATCCACAGTAGTAATAACTTGCTACAAGACCATATATGTTAGTCTAAGGGTTGATCACTGCGCTCCCACCTTGGAAGAAGAGATACTCTGTAATTCATGTACTTATTTATTAACCCCTTAACAACCCCCCATATACACTCACACCAATAACAATAATAATAATAACTTTACCACACTATCTTACGTTAAAAGCCTTGGTCCACATAGACAGGATACAAGGTTTACACTAATAACAAGCTAGGGTAAAGTACTACTGGATAAGCACTGAAGCTGGATGCAGCTTAGGGTAGTGAGACCATGTGGTACCCTAATACAAAACACAACACTTAGGGTAAACAAAACACTGGCAAATACTAACCCCAGGTCTCACCAATAGTTACTACCAGAGTAGGTTCACTCACTAATGCCCCGTACTTAGCTTAAGGATACAGGAACTTCAGGTAAGGGAAATAAGTAA